AATACATACTGCGATATTTCAGCGCGTAATTCGTTGCGCACGAGAACTTTTGAGCGCAAAGATTGGTTCTAGCTCTGGGTGATCCTCTTGACATTATGTTTGAATTTCAGTCTCTACGTGAAGTCTTTCAAAGGCTACCTATTCAGGAGGGATCGTAACGAGCCCGAACGTTCGAGGAGCGGCTGGAGATGCGTCAAGTCTGATCACCCTCCTGCAGGAAGCCTCAAGTGCAAAGCTCGGTTGACTATCTCAGGCGATCTCAACGGACCGGCCAACATGTTAGTTGTGAAGAATATTGATTAGGTGGCTGAGCATGTTTGTGGGGCCCGAATGCAGGGAAGGTGGTTCTGGTGAATTCCATGAAAAAAGCCATGGAACTGTCAGCATTCGAGAAGAAACCAGCCGAGGTTTACGACTACGTCACCGGAAGGTCGCCTCCTCAGTACATCGAGCAGTTGCCAAAGCGGTCTTCGGTTATGGAGAACCTCCGTAGATTCAAGGAAAAGAACCACCCGCTGCCGAAAGCTCCTAAGCAGCGTTGTGGGTTTGAGATTCCACCTGAGTTCAGTCACGCTATCATCGGGCAGGAGGTTCGTCCTACACTTGTCTATGACTCCGGCAAGGATGACAAGGACCGAATCCTCGTGTGGAGTGATAAACTTTTGGTTTCTTCATTATTGTCTTGTAGTGCCGCTGTACATATTTCGGGTGATGGTACTTTCAAAACTGCCCCTCTTCTATGGGCCCAACAATATACTATTCTGTTTCGTCATGTATCTGGACGTATGGTCCCAATCATATTCGCTTTTCTCCCGAACCGACGACGACGTTCACACTGTACAGGGAACTCAACACTCTCTAGTAAATGCGCTGATTCCCACGGGCTCCGGAATTGGGCATGAAACTGGGGATGCCCCTGGTGGAACCCAGCCTTCTGATGTCACTCGGCAAGCTCACTCACAAACCCAGCAACAGCCGTCATTAGCGACTGAGCCGCAGGCTTCGGCACCCGCTGAACCGAGTTCGCAAAAACGTGACCTGAGCAATCTCGATCTCGTCTCGCTGGTGGCCGACTATCACTGTTCTCGCAGGATTGCGGGCCTGCGTCACAGCCTGTGATGGAGGGCTCTCCCGTCGACTGGGACCTGCCTCGAAGTGGGAGGAAACTAGACACTTCAAAATGCACACCTCTGATGGAGGATATGACCAAGATGCGGTCAGGGGCAGGGAAGGCACCCAGGACAGATTTCAAGCGAGTTTGTCGAATCCGAGAGGTCAAGCAAAATCCGTGACGAGATCTAGACGAGAACGAGAATATCGAAATCGGCGCTGAACCTTCCGCTGGTGCTGAGAACCCCAGAGAGGGACAAGGGTTGCTCGACTGGATACGCATACCTGCTGGTCCGTCTTATCCCTTGCCGGAAATAGTTGTGGACCTCACTGATCGTGACTGGCTGATTACCAATGGCGAGATGACTACTGATAGCATCCTGGATGTTTGGATGACGATGCTTTAGAGACAAGTGGGCGAACAAAGAGTGGTCCCTCCGCAAGCCGTTCAGCTATCTGCTCCACTGCTAGACTCCCCTGGATTCCACCGAGTGCCGACGAGTGGCATGGTTCTTCAGCCAATTGTGCTGCATAGCCAGAGCCACTACGCAGCCACGGCGAGAGTTGGTGGGACGATATACTACATGGACTCAATGGCCAAGTCGAAGGAGGATATCTCTGAACTCGCCAAGCAGCGCTTAGTAGACTTGTATGGCCCTTCAAGGACGGTCCATTTCATGGGTATTTAAAAAAATCGGGAGCAATAACTGCGCCCTTCATGTGTTAGCGAGTCTAACGCACTTTGCGCTGGGCACGGGCGACGTGGCGGCGGCAACTTTCGATGAAAGCAGACTAAGTTCCCACGCATTCCTTTGCCTCGAAAAGCGGCGCATATCGCCCTTCCCCACGATGGCAACGAAAAATATTCGAAGGCGCTCTAAGGCCGGCAACTTTACAACGTGATTGTGTGTGTCTCACTTGCCCGTTTCTTCAACTTCTCGGTTTCTCTGTAGTGTGATATCAGTGTCTCGTTAAACATTGGAGTCTGCCCTTCGTTGTCAATGACCGTATCTCGCCAGAAGAGAATTTCACACTAGTGGGTACCTGAGAAACGGCCCGAAACGGGAGCCAAAAATCAGAATCGCGCCGAGAGAAGTAAGACATTCACGTGATTTGGGATCGAACTCCCGACTTCCCGATACAGCCTCTCGCTCTCCCGGTCGAAGCAAACGACCCTGGAAAAAATCGGTTAAATTAGCTTATGCGCTCAAAAGGCGCTCCTATCCTTATGGCGCGCGCTAAAGCGCGCGCTCACTTGTAGTTTTCTACATGAAGTTTTGCGCTCAGTTGTGTTGCGCTCGGTCGTGATTGCGCTCAGTTGTGGGGTTACGCTTGAGCACTCAGTACTGCAACCTCTCTCCATGTCGTTCTTGTCCAGCGAAGCGCTGCTGATAATTTACTGCATGTGACTAAACGGCAGAGAACGGTAGAAAATTCAGAAGACAACACTACTTCTGACAGATCGAGCGCTTGCCCCCATTCACGCATCATATAACTTCCGAACATCGATTATCGTCGCAACCTAAGAGTCCTTCTTGTCCGTCCTCAAGTCAGACCACTGTGAACTCTACTCTTAAGGCCGTTCACGATCGTTCAGGTATTCAATCAGCTCAGAAATGCAATGATTCTTCGTGCCTTGAAAGTTGAAAGCCGTATTGTCATCCAACGCAGACCTCCTTAGTCATGACTTGCATTATTAAGTGGTGGCTCCCATCGCTCTAAACGAATATTCGCCGGCAATAGTACTACTATAGCGACGAACTCAATTTCATTGTGACAGAGGATGTCGCTAGAACATGCTCCACTCAGTCCCAACCGAGATCGGCATCAGAGACTATCCAGCCATGTCTTGCACTGCAATTGATTCATAGAGAAGCTCTCATGCCCTTAACTTGAACTGAGCATTCGTCTCCGTCCACGCCGGGTAACTAGCTGAGCGAAGTTGCTACAAGAGGACTTGGTAACAAGTTGGCGGAATTGATCCAGAGCTATCGGGTAAGTATTCTACCCATTGTTCTCACTTGTCAGACTTGGCCTATACACCAGAATTGTTCATGGTGACCGAGATAGTTGAGAGAGCGTGACATCAATGCAACATAGAGGGCTCCTATCATTGTGTGAGATCCTTTCCTATCACAGTGTGAGCACTGTGTGGAATACAAGCAGCCAGCGAAGCATTGTAAAATACTAGCTACGGTTTATCATACTCTACTTGTGCACTCTAGAGAGTTTAGTACGCCACGTCTTGCATCACTGAGTAACAACTCAACTATTGCCGATAGTAGAAAAAGGAACCAAGTCCTCTGTGCTTGATGTAGTTTGATCATAGGTTGTACCAGGATGATCTATTATTAATGGACTAAGCCACTAGCGAAAAAATACTGATGCCAGCGGCAGGCTATGTACAAGGACTGGAATGCCGAAAAAGATCAATAGTATAATCGGAAAATCCTGGAGTAGAAAAAAGGAAGGAGTAGAAAGAATCTCATTGCACATTATCATCATCACCAACTCTTGGTTTCCATATTGAGGGCCCAAGCGAGTCGTCTAATGAGCTGAACTTGAAGCCCTGAGTTGAACTCTCCGAAGTAGACACTAATCCACATTTCCTTGACGTAACTGCTTGTTTAGTATTCACAGAGTCGTCGTCCAAACTATCCAATCCCAAAGACGATACGATACCACTGGGAATCAATGGTATCACTGCCGCGTCGGGCCTTCCTCCCCTCAATGGGACGTTGGGCATCGAAAACCTCCTATTCGGTGATCCAGTCTTAACCTTTTCAGGAGGCGTATTCTCAAGTTCCCTGTCAGCTTGCCGCCAAAGCGCCCTATGCTGGGCATTCAAACTTATCATAGCATTTGCGAAAATCCTGTCGGCAATCTTCGGTGGTGGTCTCCTAGTCCCTGTGATAGGCAATGCTACTTGGCTACAATCAGGTAGAGTGTGCCTTCGACGAGTCAATGAGGGTTGATAGATCAGAGGAGTGCGCCCATGATCCGAACAACATAGCGATGATTCGTCATCTGCAGCCTCCTCAGCCGTCCTCTCCAGCAGCTCCTGTACAGCCGCCAACTCGGCCTCTGATAAGCCAGTTAGGTCGCAAGCAATGGTATACTCCTTCTCTGTCATCTGTGGGTCGGAATAAAACCGCAAGTTAGTTAACGATGAGAATGTGCGCTAAAAACTCCGCTTATGGACCAGTTTCGCACGCGTCAAAACGCTCAAACTGCTGCGTTCTGAGGAACTGTTGAAATATTGTGATGCCTCATGCGGTCATCTCTGCAACTCTGAGTACTATGCTTTCCATTTTGATGGTCACGTGTTTATCGTCCTACATTCAACAGAATCATCTGATAGACTCGTGCCCGAGACTCGTCTATGGTTAATCGATACGCTCCCGCGACCTCCAATGCGCCCATGTAGTCATAGGCCTGCAGCAGGCCGCCTGCTTCCACGAGGACGTCGACTACGTCACCAACTGTTACGGCCGAGACATTATAAGCTGAAACCCGTTCCAACAACTCTGGTTGTGTCAGCCAGAGTGAGATACTATGTTGAGTATGAGGGTGTTTGCTGACCAAGTCAGTTGTAACTCCGGAAGCACGCATGTCATTGCGCGGAGTCACCGATAGCAAGTTCGGTGGAAAAGTAAAGACATACAACTGATATCATTGTCGTGATGACTCAACAAGAGACTATTTATTGTCTCTTGGATCTAGGAGTGACATCAGTAACCATATATTCGTGGGCTTTACGAGCGTTCTACTGGATATGTTCTCAGACTAGCTACCACTACTTTCGCTACATACTTATGGTATACTGTCGAATTGACGTTAGTACACCATTATGGTTAGGCACAGGCCCTCAGCAAAGATAGACTTTTCATAGTTGGGGGTAATAGGCTGACCCATGCCCATTCGACGTACTTGACCTCTGCATGTTAACAACGATTATACCCGAGATGGCTCCGATTCCTACCGATCGACTTCGACTAGAACACCGACCAGTGACGATGTTCACCCTGAAATGGCTTAATAACCCTAATGTTGGTGCATTCGGTCGTATCTGTCGGCTGGAGATGGGTGAGCTATCTTGTGTCGGTCGATATCTTTCGAATGTACTGAGAGCTATCGCAGGAATGGTATTGAGGGATGCAGGCCGCCCTTCGCAGCGATAGACCCCGGCGGTTTCCATGGATAAGCTCTCTTGCCTGGACACATTGATAAGCGGTGGGGGAGCATTGAAGGAAGCGTGCGGAGACTACACGGTAAGTCCTGATATGGTATAGGCTCTTTTCGGGATATGCCGTATTGCATTTTGAATATTTTGCGAAGTGATTTGCCATCAGTTCGCATATCATCTGATTTTCACGTTTTCCAACTGATGAAGTTCGACGAATCGCCTCTTGCGGGTGAAACTCCATTATTGGAGACTACTTGGCGGCTCTAGACTCGGATAAGATAGTTTTCGACTAAATTCGGGAAGAAGTCGGTCGAGGAACCCTTCTCTGTGGTCTACTGCTCCAACGCTGCATACGTTCTTGCTGCTACCGTCACGGCCCCTCCCACCGTGTTTCGCTGAGTCTTACCCCACCAAGATGGGAGATCAGCGACAACCCTTTCCGTTACATATGGGTGGGAAGTCGTAATAGCTATGTCTATTCAGACTCCGTCGTACTAAGCAACTCCTC